GTAAGAGTGTTGGGAAAGGCTTTGTGTACTGTATGTTAGTGCTGAATGCTTGTTAGCAGGACTGTGCTCACTAGCCTGTGTAACCTTTGCTGCTGGTTCAGATTTCCACTAGGTCTGGCGCCGGTAACACCAGCACCACTGCAATATTTTAAGTGCCAACGAATGGGACACACTGCAGGACAATGTAAAGGAAAGCAAAGATGTGCAAGATGTGGGGGAGAACATGAATATGGGAAATGTGGTCAACATGCAAAAATCAAGTGCTGCAACAACCTCTTGGAGGGTGTCCTGTTCAAAGAGAAGCTAGATAGGTACAGAAATACAGTAACACACCAGGTATCTTATGCTGATGCAGTCAAAAAAGTAAAGAAAGTGAAATAGATCGAATGTTAAAAATAGGATACATACAAGAGAGTCTGAAAATAGACAAGTATTAGAGGACCAGTGTCTGACAACAAGACAGCAGCAACCAGAAACAAACCCATGCATAAAGAAGATTAATGAAGATACATTGTGGACAAAATCAGCTTTGTTGCTTACATCTGTGGAACTGTGAATGTGGCAACATGGGAAAGAAAAAGTGATAGAATCAAGAGAATTGTAGAAGCAGCTATAGAGGTTGTGGTAGTTAAAGAAGTAACAGCTGAATTGATTCCTGAGATGTTCAACCCTTCCAACCATGATGGACTGTCTCAAGGTGATTAACTCTCATGGTATTTCATATCCTCCAATGGGATGCCAGAAGTTTAATTGCAAATGGGGAAGAGTTCAAGAACTTTTAAAAGTAAATACTGATGTAACAAAGAAAAGGGATAGTGGTGGATCACCACTTGACATGGACTTTACATTAACCGAGTTGAAAATGGCCTTAGAGGGAAGTGGATATTCAGCCCCAGGACAAGATCAACTATGTTATGTTTAGAAATTTACCAGATGAAGCATTGGAAACTGTATTATACTTGTTTAATTAGATATGGAGAGAAGGTGTAATGCCTGGCAGTTAGAAAAGTGCTCTGGTGCTACCTGTTGTTAAGGCTGGTAAAGACCCAGCTAACGTGGGAAATTATAGGCCCATTGCGTTGACGTCTCATTTGTGTAAATTGATGGAAAAGATCATTGTTTGTAGATTATTATACTGTTTAGAACAAAGATGACTGATAAACACATGCCAAAGTGGATTTCGTAAAGGAAGATCTATGATAGATGCGTTAGTGAAAGTTAGTAATGAGGCAGAAAAAGCATTTCATATGAAAGAGGTAATGGTTATTGTGTATTTTGATATTGAGGAGCTTATGATTCAATGTGGAGAGAAGGAATACTGATTAAAATGCATAAAATGGGTATTGGTGCAAAATTATACAACTGTGTTTTAGACTTCCTGTCTAATCGGACATTTGTGTTAAAGTTGGAGATGCTGTTTCAGATGATTTTGAGATTTTTATTTGTATTCTTCAAGGTAGTGCTATCAGAAATATACTGTTTAATATTATGATAAATTATATTTTTAATAATATTGGTAGAGATATTGGGTCATCACTTTATGCAGATGATGGGGCAATATGGAAAAGAGGGAAGAATATCAGACGTGAAGAATTCAGAGTGCTATATTTAAGATGGTCATATGACTGGGGATCTAAGATGTCAGTTTCAAAGTCATGTTACATGTTCTTCAGCAGGAGGAAAAACATTGATCATGTGGATCTTAAATGATATGGTCAAAGTATGGAAAGAGTAACAGAGTTCAAATATTGAGGATTATGGTTTGATGAGAAATGTATATGGAGAAATCATAATAAACAAGTTGAAACAAAATGTAGAAAACACTAAATCTCATGAGGTCAGTTTGTGGTTATGAATGGGGAGCAGATAAACAATCACTGTTGGATATTTATAGGGCCTTAATACGGTCATGTATTGATTATGAGTGTATGGTATATGGTGCTGCAGCCAGAAGACAGAATACAGTTCAGAGCTCTAAGACTCAGTGTTGGTGCAATCAAAACGACTCCTACTAACGCATTACTGGTGGAAGCTGAGGAACTAGCATTAGAGCTAAGACGTTCAAAGTTGTCACTGGCATATTGGGTTAAGTTAAAGGGATCTGGAGAGGAACAACCTGCAACAGAGGGGCTGTGCGGTTGTTGGGAATATTCAAAACAAAGAAAATGTACAGGATTTGGTTGGAACAATAATACAGTCGTAGAAGACTACGGGTTAAATAGGTTAGAGTATGGACCAAATACTGTGCGGGGTAATGCTCCTCCATGGATATTTCCAGTACCAAAAGTGAACTTAAAACTTGTGGAGCAGAAGAGAGAATGGGTTGGAAATAATGTGGATATTAGATATCTGGTGCAAGATTATGTAGAGAGGAATTATTACAACTACTTGACAACATTTACTGATGGATCCAAAGATCCAGGAAGTGGACGTGTAGGAACTCAGGTATACATACCTGAGTTTGATACAGTCATAATCAAAATGATTAATGATAGATTATCTGTATTTACAGCAGAAATAACTGCAATAGAAGAAGTAAGGATGGAGAGAGTTGTCATTTGCTCCGACTCTACTGCAGCTCTTAATGGTTTGAACTCAAAGGAAACAATAAGAGATGATTTGTTGATGGAAATGAATATGATAATGTTGAGGATAGAAAGAGGTGGAACTGATGTACAGTTTTGTTTGGTTATTGCTCATGTTGATGTGGAGGGCAATGAGAAAGCTGATGAGATTGCCAAGAGATCATTGAAGTTAAATGATGAAGAAATAATGACAGGCAGTGATAGATTCGTGGCAGAAGAAGTGGGACACAGAGAGCAAAGGGCGACACTACTACAGCATTCAGAAATCAGTTACAAAGAAAGTTTCAAAGGGAAGTGTAGAAGAGAGGAAGTGGTTTGGTCAAGATTAAGGCTAGGACATACCGCATTAAAATCAACTCTTTACTTCATATCAAAGTGTTTTTCAGATAATTGTGATGTTTGTGATGTTCCTGAAGACGCTGAGCATGTTTTATAATATAATGCAGAGCAGAGTATTTTACATAAGATATATGAGTTTGGTCGGGCAAACATTAAAGAGGAAAAAAAACTGGCAAGTATGGAAGACTGGTTCGCCTATGATGGGTAAGATCCCCCTGTTAAACCTTGGGACAACCTAAGACAGGTACAGCTACGAGTTCTTGACCCCAACGCCACTTTGAGCAGGCACAGTGACACTGTCCCGTGACCGGTGTTGTTGTACAATGTGCAGGAACACAGGACATGGTTTGACAGGAGATGTACAGATGGAGAAAAACACAACAAAAAAACAGGCAAGTATGGAAGACTGGTCCAAAATCCTGGTGCATGCTTATTGATATCTGTGACTGGGAAGATAACCCTATCACTGATCTCTAACACACTTTCTTCAGGGTCTAATGCACACACGAATATTGACAGTGACTGGAGGTGAGACTGAAGAGTAATAATAATAGTTAGAAGAAATTATGCTACTTAGACTAAAGCCGTCGTTATCTGTCATGTGGAAGGCCTCCATGCAGAAAAGGTTTGCTGAAGATCTAAAGACTCTGTTGCAAATACATGTACATCTACATACTGCAGTGGCAGAAGATGAGTAAGTGCACTGTTATAATGTAACATTC